CAATTCTGGTGAATTGGCCTTAAAACAAAACAAAAGAAGAGTAGCAGTGGACGGCCATGAAGGTCATGCCAACAGTTTTTCTTACCCTTATTTCTGTAGCTTAGGTGCAGATCAGCAATCGAGAAAACAGGGACAGCCCTTTTCACTATTTGGAGATGAGTTTGAATTGTATATGCCTTTACACGGTCTCGAATGTTGTTAAGATCACACTATGACAGCTGATAAGACCTGAAAGGGTGATTTGATTTCAAGCATGGGAAAGGCATTGGGAAAGCCTCACTGAGGAACTGATTTTTAAGTTAAACCAACGAACCAACCAAAGGGAATGACAATGTATAGATGAACTTGTTACTTAATCCAGGACCTGTAAGACGAGTGTATTCATAAAATGTTATCAAGGGGAGGCAAAAGGAGTACCAGAAGTAGCAAGTTCATTTGAGTTTTTTTTTTTTTTTCGAGACAGGGTTTCCCTTTGGCTTTGGAAGGAGCTCTTGTAGACCATGCTGGTGTAGAACTCATAGAGATCCGACTGCCTCTGCCTCCTGAGTGCTGGGATTAAAGGCGTGCACCACCAACGCCCAGCTTCATTTGAGCTTTTAAAACCCATTTTAGAGACAGGAAGATGGCTCAGTGGGTAGTGTTTGTTGCAGTGGCAGAGACAGGAAGACCTTTGGACTCTGGGTTAAATAGTCCAGTTTAAACAGTGAGCTCTAGTTTCAGCTTGGAGACCTTGTCTCAAAAAATAAAGTGGAGAGCTACTGTGAAAGACACCTGATGTCAAACTCTGGCTTCCACATGAGCCTACATTCTGTATCTATGCCTCTTAATCCCCCCTCCCCACAATCCCACTTATTTTTAAGGGTTTTACTTGATTTCATAACCATGTAAAGTCAGGAAGGACTTTGTTTGTTTGTTTGTTTGTTTGTTTGTTTTTCTCTGTAGCCCTGGCTGTCCTGTAAGGCAGACTGTCCTCACACTCAGTGATACCTTCCTCTGCCTCCCTAGAGAGTGCTGGGATGAGTGCACCACCATAGCCCAGCTCAGGATGGATTTTTAAATAAGGGCAAGGGTGAGGTAGTGCACACCTCTAATCTCAACACTTGGGAGGCAGTGAGTTCGAGGGACAGCCTAGTCTACGAGTTCTAGGACAGTCAATGGCTACACAGAGGAACCATGTTTCAAAACCAGGAGGGAAAAAAAAAGGCAAGAGAAAGTGAAATGATCAGATTTGTGTTTCAATGATTATTTTGGACTGTTAGAAAATTTTAAAAATGGGACATTTCATTAAATTCCTTTTCATGTCCACAGTTGTAGTCTTTCCTGGCTTCCAACAAAACTAGTAACTAAAATCTGAAATTCAACTAGCAGTTAGAAGCTTAAATTTACATTTCTCAAAAAGCTTTGCAGGACAAAAAGAGTAAAAACTCATGACAGTTTTAGTCTTTAGTTAAATGTATTTTTCATCCCTGTGAGACATCGTTTTCAGTTACTTATGTTCCATTAGTTGGAATAGGTAGTTGAAAAAATATGAGGGCAAGTGCTCATAGACCATATTCATTACAGTAATTTCGCAGAGGTGACTTCTCAGGAACTTCAGTGTGAAGACTATGTTTCTAGGAAAATATGACTCCCTACCATCACCCTGATATTTAGTATTAAAGGTTTCTTTTACCTGTCTAGTAACAGCCAGAATACTAATACTGAGGTTACTTCTTTAAAGGCAGAACACCTTGCTGTTGATTAAAGGGAAGGGACATAGGCTTGCTTCCTCATTTCACTCCAAACTAATGTAGTGGCTGTGCTGTTTATGGATCTAGCAAGGAAACAAGGGGTAAATACATGAACTTCGGTGCCTTGTTAATCTTTTGTTAGCACTTTAGCTAACACAGAGGTCTATTTTGAGGTCACTATAACCTTAGTATTCCCCCTTCCCACTGTTTCAGTAATAGCTATCCTTCTGTGTTTTGTGTATGCCAATTTTAAGGATTTTGTGCTGATGATGCAGTTTTTTCTTGTTTCTGTAAATCAGTTCTGAAACTGGAGTAGATTGATTGTGGGCGAATTTTTACTGAACTGGAAAGAATTCATTGGGAAAGCATCTGGCTAATTCTGATTGGGAGGGGCTCTTCTGTATAGGCTGGCTTGATAAAAGGTAAGCAAAGAAAGTACCCAGGCTTTAGTTGAAGGTCATTAGGCTCCCAGAAGATCACCGTTGTTTCGTTTCTGGAGCAGTGCTCATTGTTTCTTATTAGATTAATATATGCCTTCAGATTGACTTAGAGATGGTGGTGTCTGAGACAGGGTTTTTCTGTAAAGCCCTGACTGTCCTGGAACTCAGTGTGTAGACCAGGCTGGCCTGGAACTTACAGAGATCTGCTTGCTTTGCCTCCTGAGTGCTGGGATTAAAGGTGTGTGCTACGAGGCCAAGCCTGAGACTGACATTTTAAAAATATCACTTATATTTTAACTATGTACCTAGAGTTTTCCAAAAGCTTTTTTTTTTTTTTTTTTTTTTTGTAGAAACTGATTCCTCAACGAGAACCACATCCCTTTGTGTTGAGTTTTCCCTTTCCCTCCCTGCCCATCCTCTCTTCCTCTCCCTTTTTCTTTTGTAAGTGGGGGGTCTTACTGTGTTGCTTTGTCTAGCCTTATGCTCCTGCTGTCAACTGAGTCCTCTTCTTTAGCTTTCTGAGTATGTAGACAACAGACGTGCACCACTGTGCCTGGTTAAATATCATTGATTCTTAGTTCATGTAATCCCTGGCATTAATCAAGTGATCTAAACATTCCTAATTTACCATTTTATAATATTTCATATTAGACATTAATAAAAGAATTTATTAATATTTGTATTCTGCTATGATAGAACAATGGTATGTCTTGCTTTTGTTCATTTAATATTCTGAATTTGACCCTCCTCCATGATACTGATGGTATATGCGATGATACAAATACATATTACAGTGCTGAAAAGATGGAGGAAAGGGGCTGGAGAGATGGCTCAGCAGCTAGGAGCATTGGCTGCTCTTCCAGAGGTCCTGAGATCAGTTCCCAGCACCACATGGCATCTACAACCATTTATAATGGGATCCTGTGCTGTGTTCTGTTGTGCAGGCATACAGCTAGACATAGCATTCATACATAAAATGCATAAGTAAAATCTTTTTAAAAAGATGGAGAAGAGAGATGTTAGAAGAGATTATTTCTCTCCCACATTGGCCTAAGGATAAAATAGTTTCCTATGTGATTTCTTCCAGTTTGGGGACTCTGAGAATAACAATCTAAAACTTCCTTGTCTTTTTCCTTCCTCAACTTTAAGTGATATGTCTTAAAAAAGAAAAAATTAATTTTCTTACCTTAGTAATAGATTTTGGTCCTTCCTTCCTTCCTTCCTTCCTTCCTTCCTTCCTTCCTTCCTTTCATTCATGGGCATTGTCTCACTGTGTATGGCAGGGCTCCATTTGCTTTGCCTCTTGTGTGCTAGGATTAATGATGTATCTACCACACCCGGTATCGTTTTTCTTTTAGAGGTAGGTAGGGTCTGATTTTTGTAGATCAAGCTGGCTTTGAATTCCCAGTCATCCTAGATCCTTAAGTGTTGGAATGTAGCGAATGGTGTCACACTTGGTACAGTAATAGACTTTTGTCAGTATATTGCTACAGCTCACAGTCCTTGTCCTCCAGATATCTGATAGTGAAAGAACTAGGTGTTTTTCCTAGGTACATAAGCCCATTGCCTCTTTCCTTCTTTCTCACAGTTTTGCATGTTTTGGATCTGTAACTTACTTACGTTTGTATATGGTATGGTAAGATTGTTTTATTTGAATTTTAGAAAAGAAAACGCATAGTTTTAGAATTTAAATTGTGGAACAAATTTGGATGTTTAATATTAAATAAAAGTTAGCTACTTTTATTTTTGATGCTGAGACAAAAGTATTATGAAGATTGTAGCTAGGATTTAGCCCAGTTATTTTCTTTAGTCTATAGTGCAAGTAATATAATATGAAGTTTCTTTGTGTTTGAGAATGACTTGTATTTGAATGAAAATAGAGTTGATTACATAGAATTCTTTTCAACAAGATGTCTTATTTCTTTACTACCATAGAAATAATATCAAAATAGCTTTTTCAGAATGCTTCTTTGTAATACTGTTTGCCATAGTTATAAATTTGTAGCTATACTTAGTTTTATTAAAAATTTAGAATTTTTAAATTTTTAAAGCTAAAATATTTAAACCAATAGCTCATTTTGAAATGTGTCTAGTTGTACATGTAGAAATGATTTTATGTATAGCATGTTTATTATAAAAAGGTACAACTGGTATTTCCAATTATTGGACATAAATTCAGATGAAAACTGAGGAGCAAACCATCAAATCAGTTTCTGTTGTGGAATTTCAAGGATGTGTAGTTTTAGCTCACAGAAACTTACTTCCTCACAGCTCTGGGAGGGTGGAGCCCGATGTCATGGCCTGTGGGGTAGGGCTGCTTTCTTTGAGGCTTTTCTCTTGGCTACTAGGCCTCCTATAATGCATGACTGTTAGGCATGTCCTTGGAATCATGTATTGTGGTCGTGTCCCATGTGTCCCCCATCTCCCACCCCAGGATCTTGTTATGTAATCCTGGCTGGCTAGAAATTACTATGTAGCCCAGGTTTGCTTCAAACTTGCAGGAGTTCTTGCCTCAGGGCTCCCAAGCTCTGGGATTATATGGGGCACCACTCCTGGCTTTGAAGTCTATCAGCATACTGATAAGGACCTCATTCTAACTTCTTTATCTCTTGAAAAATTTATCTCCAAATTGGCAGTCAGATAGATATCAGAAGCTGGAGCTTCAGTATATGAATTTTGGTGAGAACATAGTTTAGTTCTTATGTTCATAGAATGTAGTAAAAGTAGGTAGTCAGCATGGAAAAGCAAGTAAAATTTAAAATTATTTTTCCTCTTAATAAGATTTGTGTAGAAGTACATTTGTTCTGTGTTTCTGTTGTGTATCTCCCAGCCGGAGAATTTTCATCCTTGGGCCTTCCCATCATGTGCCCCTGTCTCGATGTGCGCTCTCCAGTGTGGATATATATAGGACTCCTCTGTATGACCTTCGTATTGACCAAAAGAGTAAGTATATAGAAATCATGTAGTTTTTAAATAGCTAAAGCTCATTTAATAAAGATTGCAATTTATTAAAAAATTTAAAACATAAATAGCATCTCAATTAAATTTTGTTGTAATTAATCTGTATAATCCAGACAGAAAAAGTAGTGTTTTCCTCATAACAACAAAAATCTGTTGAAGGCAGTTGGCTCCATACCATAGTGGTACACTTATATTTTGAGAAATACTTTGTGTCATGCCATGAAGCAAGAAATTAGTATGCATGTCAACCTGATGAAAACTCTGCAGGTTAACCGTCTTTATAATGTATCACTTTTTTCACTTTAAATAGTGGTGATAATACTTTCATTTCCTTTCATTGTTTTTATGGAAAACTATTCTATGGGTTTTGAGGCTCTGAAAGGTGGTATAACTTAAATACCTTTTGTTTTAACATGTGTTTTTTGTGTATGTGTATGTATGCATGCATATGTGCTTGCATGTCTGTGGGCATGTGTGTGTAAAGATGCATGTGTGTGCTATGTGGAGGCCTAAGGCTAATGTCAGGGGTCTTCCTTGATCACTTCACCTGATATACTGAGCAGTGTCTCTGGCTGAATTCAGAACTTGTTATTTTGGCTTACCTGTCTTGATGCACGCACGCACGCACGCACGCACGCACGCACGCACGCACGCACGCACGCACGCACGCACGCA